TAGGGTTGCTGAGCGATGCCGACGTCGGCAATGGAATCGCTGAAGCTATGTTTTATTTGGCTTGTCATACGCATCTGACTGCACTATGTTTCACTGATAGAGAGAATGTAAGGATTTGGAAGGAGGTGGTCGTGGTACCATCCTGGTAAGACCGACGACTAGCAATGAATCAGGATAGTCGGCAACGTGGCTGAGATTGTAACTCCCACATGCATGCCTGCATTATACCAACATGTGATATTATAGTTTTAGATGCTATAAGTCGTGTTTCATCTTCAGGACAACTATCTTCAGAGCCGTGCTGAGACGATGCAGAATATCGAATCGACAATAGTCGAATTGGGTGGAATATTTCAGCAACTTGCTCACATGGTGACTGAGCAAGAGGAAATGGTAGAAAGGTTAGAATGTGGATATTAAGTTACAAGGACAATTTTATAATTACCGCATTAGTTTACATCTGTGTTTTGAATATCCGTTACCGATAATTTAATCTCCTTGGCTGAATGGGTGCCGTCATTTACATGCAGACATGTTACAGGTTTTGTTTATGGTGAATTTTTTTTTGTGGCTAATAGTTTAACCAACAAGACGACTTATTACAGGCTATTCTGATATCAAGTGTAAATTATCCAAACTGAAGGGTTAATATATCAAATTGTTCATCATCTTCATGTGTTTTGGGTCAATTTAGATTTTGGTGTGTTAAAATGCCACAATACAGTTACATCTCAGAAATAAAATTGTAGGAATCGTTCTTAAACCTTTTATGCCGTCACGTAAAATTTGGGACTAATAAAGTAGGATAGTAAGCATTTCAATTAAAGATGATACAGAAAAGTGGATATTAACACGATATACATTAATGAAGATACAGACTGAACTAAAGTAATTTTGTTTCATGTTTCGCAAAGTAATTATGTTATTTTTGGTTCTTTTTTAGGATTGATACAAATGTTCAAGATGCAGAGCTGAATGTTGAAGCGGCTCATAGCGAGATCATCAGATATTTCCAAAACATTACATCTAACCGTTGGCTCATGATCAAGATATTTGCTGTGCTTATTTTTTTCTTTCTTTTCTTTGTTTTATTCATGGCATAGTCAGCCCCCTCTCTCGTTGACTTGGATACCAAGCGGTGGTTGCCATTTATTGAACTCGCAACTGGTGTCTGGGCGCTGATAAGTTTCTACTTGAGCAACGTCTTCAGTGTTGACTCATACTCGAATCACCAGCCATTCATAAATATTTCAATTACCCAGTGAATCAAAGATATGAAAGACATATATAAACAAACAAATAAATTTTCATCTTCAGGGTAAACTGATGAGTGTTAGTTTCGCACAGGTTGTATGAAACGTATTTTAATCAATCGCAGACTGTCTTGGAAAATATAAAAGATATAAAGGCAATACGACGAATATCAACATATATCTTTTGAAGAGTTGTGTATGGTGCAAATATTTGTATGCAGCTTGTCAGACTTGTATAATCAGCATACATTTATTAAAAGTTAATACATAAGCACTTGGGTACTTTGTATTGTATTTTGACAGGAATACTGAAAATATGAGTAGTTCATAAAATAATCTCAGAACCTATCAAATTTTTATTAACAGAATGTGGCAAAATGGAAACCCATTTAAGTGTTCCTTGATTCATGGACTTTCCTCACTAAAAATTCAAAATGAGTCTCAGAATTACATTTTCCCTCATTTTACCGTTGAAAATCCATTGCTCCCCAAAGAAACATTAAATGGTTAAAAGATTTCTGTCTTCTGGGTTGTTGCGCCATGTAGTATGGTAGACGATTAGCAACGCTTCAGAGGTCATACTGCCTCCGTCATCAGGGCGATGAATGTGCACATATCATACTACACGGCGCAGCAACCCACAAGACAGAAATCTTCAGACTCACCGCTGTGAAAACCTCAAATCATACATTAAATGGTTATTTTATTCTATTATTAAATGAGAAGATCTGATATGAATATTTTCAACGTGAATTACTACGGAAATCAGCCGTGACTAGCAAGGGACATAGAATAAAGCAACCAATAATTCTTAAATAAAAAAAAAACTTTAGAAATATTCACTATTTTTACTGTTTCTTTTCATCGGATGATGGTTCATCGTCACTAGAACTGGAACTACTGCTTTTTGTATTCTGCAAAGGAACAGAAAAACATACTCATGAACAATATAATCAAGGGCATCACACCAGAAGGGAGTATCAATATATTTGCGCAATCAGAGATATTTGATCTAACGAAATAAAACAGCAGCATATGTCAAACTGGTGTAAGAATTTGGCATCCTGTAAATAAACTATTTTGCTGATACACCTGTCTTGCATGATACTTTTACTATAAAGGGTGGTCTGAATAGGTAATTTAATCAGACTGAATCCACTGGTTAAGCAATCCACATCACCCCATGTAAAACAATAGAATCCTTAAATTATTACACACAAAAAAGTCCCCAAATTTACTAGAATTGATAACAGTTCTCCTTTAAATTTTATACACGCAGTAGTCTGTTACAGAATTCTGCATTTTAAATTTTACAGACGCAGTAGTCTGTTACAGAATTCTGCACATATTTTGTGGACAGTGCCATTTACCATTTGTGACAGCAATAATTTTTCTCATATAAATTCCAATTTACAAAATTATATGAACATAAAACAACAGCCTATTCAAATTTGTCTTTAGTTAATTTTTTGATCTTTGTTTCCATTTGTGTTGAAACAATTTCTGTTGGACACAGGCATAATATTAAACTTGTCTTCAGTCTCGGGATCAGAGACATTTTCAAACATTCGACCCACGTTCTGTTAGAGACAGTTGTCACGATAATTCTGTCAGATATTTGATAATGTAACATTCTATTTTATGTGATATGATAAGTTTCTTACCTTAACTGGTACTTCGTACGGGAATGTTTTCCCTTGTTTCAGCAGTCCATTTTGTAACTTCAGTAGTGTTATTCTGTTTATATTTTCCAAACAAACATCTTTCACAGCTTCCTCCAATGCCACTAGCGCATCTTCATACTTCTCAGTATTCACTGGGGGAGTTGGGGGGGAAAAAAAATATTAAAATTGCTAATGCAAGCCTGGATTAACACAGCACACTGCGTGATTCGGATACATTATTTTATTCTCGAATTCCTTCAATATTAGGGGCTGTGGTAGCTCAGTCAGGATGGTGATGTTATGGAATGGATGACCAAGGTTCAATTCTTGGTAGGGTACATATTTTTCTTGTCATCACCATGCCGAGACCAGTTTCTGAACCAACTCAACCCCCATCCAACTGCATCAGGGCGGTCCTTCCCCACAGGTACAGCAGTCAAGATTAAGAATGCATGGAGCTATACCTCCACTGCCCCACATATAACTAACAAACTCCCTGGTAACAGAACCTGCAGGTCCAACACTGACAACACCAAAGCCCACCACCAAACTTGATCTGGAGCCAGCTCCATCCATTTACTATCCTCACGGCCCACCTCCCTAAGATCCATCTTGATACTTCCCCACATACATTCAGTGAAATGGTGCTTAATTAAGCATGTGGGGGAAAGTTACCTTACACCCCAGATACTTTATGTTCTTCCCTCAGCATGAAGTACGTAATGTCGCTCACACCAATATAAAATGGATTAATTAATTTTTTTTTAAAAAAAAGTTCTTTAAATTCAGCCCTAAATACGGAGGAGACAACACATTTCTCCAAAATGGATCTACCTACAAGTCCACACAGCATCAATCAAGTTTTTCGTGGTTTCTCTACAAATCCTTTTCTCCGTTCATGATAAAATTCTCCCTCACTCCAGCTACATATATATATAAGCTCTGCAGTTGAAACATAATTATTAAATAACCCAAGAATCAATCAAGGAATAATAAAAGGTTAAGCCTAACTAACTATAGTTCGCGAGTGTAATCTTCAGACTTGCAGGGTGAGGAAGTGGGGTGAAGGAGGAAAGATAGCGTCAGTCTTTAAAGCTTCGGACTCCTGCATTCCTTGCAAGTCTCAAGATTAGTCGCGAACAGTACTTACCAAGCACATCAATGAGACAGCTATGTGCACTGCCACGAGACCCTTCTGAAACGGCAGCACACCCCAGTACGGCAATAAGCTTGCGAGGAATGTTTTCATCACGCGCCTCACGTGCCTCCTGAAGAATATGTTGGAACATGATACGAGGAGACCCAACTAGATATTCATCCCATATCTTCTTGGCTGCAGCATCTTGTCCCTTTGCAAACAAGTGCGTCCATAGTACGTTGATAGGGGCCGTGATGCCTTTTTCAACATATTTGAGAGCCATCTGTTCGTCTGGAATAGAAGTACACAGATATGTTGCTCAGAATAATCAACTGTAAGGAACTAAAATTTTAGCAGCAGGGATACAACAAAATTCTGCTGTTAAGAGTTTTATCTGAGCAACTGATTAAGAGTTTCCGATGTTATTTCCAGACTTTGGAGGGATACACGTGAAAGATGCTGAACAGTGACCTTCTATAATTCAGTTGATAGAAAGTCCCTTTTTTGCTTGAGCAAAATCTGCTCCTTTCAAGAGTAACGAGTTAACTTACAGTCCAAATGAAGTTCTGGATGGTTTGTTAAGATTCCAATGGCTCCACCTCTTGGAAATTTCTGAGCTAGTTGTTCAAGGTCACTTTCTTCAGCGTTCTCGATTTCTGCCGTTAACATCCTCAAATATTCTGTAGCTTTTCCAGCAACGATGTTGGCATGGCATAAACGGTTATCAAATGAAGCCCGTTTCTTATTTTCCTATAATAGTAAGTACACAATATCAAGTTACAATATCACATTCCATGACTGAATGCTGTGAAAATAATCAGAATTCCCCAAACAACACAGTACTGATACTGACTGGCGTGAGTAGACTTCCGATGGCTGTCACTGTATCGATGTCTCCAGCAATTGCAAGACGACTTAGCAGGAAGCGCAAAACGTGGGATACAGGAAACAGGCCCCTTTCCAGCATTCCTAGTGCTACCTTTGATGCTTCTCCGCACCGATCGGCTCTTACCAAACCCTCGATCAGGGTTGACAAATCACTCACTGACAAGCTCTGGTCAGCTGTACTTTCGATGCTTTAAAAAATAAGAAAATAAAAAATGAAAATTATTAACTTATACTGATCAATTTTATTCTGATATAAATAAGAAAAATCAATGCGAAATTGCTGCATCACAACCCAGACCACTATGGGTATCAGATTTTATAAGATGCAGTTCATTTAATAAAATACCTCTGAGAGCTCAGTTCTTTATTTTAAAAAAGTGTCAGTTAATTTTTATGAAAAATATCTTACAACTGCTTGTGGAGAAGTGCATCATCAAGATTATTTTTGCGCAGGGCTTGTTTGAATTTCTGTGCTGCTGTTAACCCTGTTCCAGTTTCCTGAGCTCCATGGCTATTCCTGTCCCCTCTGTGAACATCTGCAATGGGCGGGGCTTCCACTATTTCTGGAATTACAAATGGTACCTCCCTCCCTTCCTTCTTCAAGAAATTTCCAAGAGTTGACAGAAACTCGTCAGATGCTTGCACATCCTCTTCTTGCATCCTCGTCCAGAGTCCAAGAGCTTTGTCAGCATCCTTTGATTTGCCTATGAAAATCCAGTACAGACACAAAAGTATTATGAGAACATTCTCAATTCAGAACCAAAGCAGCCTGGTAGGGTATAATACCATGATAATGAATCTTCAGGTTCCAGGCAAAGCCCACTTGTCCTTATAAGGATGGAATGTGAATAAAAAAACATTTACGTGGTAAGCAGTAGAAGCTTCTAGCACACACAACATTCTCTACATTTATAAAATACATAAAAATAAGCAATAAAGTGTAAAAAGAAAATTATATTATAAACTCCTGGCATAAAAGCATTAATATCTTGCAGATAGTAGGCTCAACTTACAGTAGGAACGCAGAAGATGGTAGTAAATATCCGAGCGATCTATGTGAGAAATATCACGCGTGACTTCAACTAAGCCCTCGAGCGATGCCACCATTCCTTCCTGCTGGTAACGCTCACATATTGAGTTAAGTCGCTGAGGTCGGCTACGTAATCCGGGAGTCTACACAAAATTTATACAATTAAATTGTATAAAGTACAAAAAACAGAAAAGACTTACAGAATCACTGTAAAACTGGATTTGTCTAAATCCTCAGGTGTAAGGAAGGGGGCAAAGTTATTGAGGTTAGCTCTTTCTGACAGACTCGACAGAATAGGACAAATATCTAGTTTTCAAATTGTTTCTTTTTAGAATATGGGAATAAATGTATAATAAATTGGTCTTTAACTTTGTACTAACCTTCAGAGTTCGTGCTTGTACATAAACAAACACAAATTGTTTAAGTTTTATCGTAAGATGTAATTTGGGATGCTGTAAGACACTGAACTATATCTGAGTGTCCGACCACAATGAGAAACACTGTGTTAGAATGCCCTCCCAACAACGAAAACCAACCGAAGTGTACCTCCAATATCTTGCGTGCCTGACGAATCCTACCGCACTCCACGAAAGCAAACACCAAGTCATACAAGCTGTTCACTTCTCCATGGACTTGCGTGCTGAGATCTGTAAGCTTCTGGAGGGCCTCAGCATCTTCTGCCTGTATGATTTTGCATGCCAATTCATTCTTCCAGGGTGTGGCACGATATTTCTGGCAAAACAACTCAAACTCTTCCAGCGCCTTAGCTAAATCATTTCTAGACGGGAGTAAAAAAAAAAAAACATGTTTGTGAGGTGTTGTCTGAAATTAAGATCGAAAGGCATGTGCATCTTCGAAAGGACTGAATGTATCTACGATATGGACAATACATCATAGAACTACACGTACACAATTTTATATATAACGGTAGACAGAAGAGAAAATGCGGTTCTTTTCCACTGTTTCTTTGATGTTTCCACATTATCAGGATGATCTCCCAGACATTGTCTCAATACCAGAAACAGATGAAGCAATACTGGGGAGGTCACAGTAACAATCTTTATGATACATAAATAAGAGAGTTAAATCCCCATATTACGGGGGTGCTGGCCGGCCAGATTTAATGGTTTAACAGTACGCTACTGTGACATACAACCAGCTGGACCATACGCTGTGATGCATGGCCAATAAATGTTAAATGTGGAGAAAGATGTAAAATAATGTTTGAAAGAACAGGACCCTAATTTCTGCGGACAATTCAAGTTATGGTGTAAGTACCATATCACCATAGAGACCATGCAGAAAAAGTGAATGTGGCCTACTTAATGGTAAAAAGATGGAGGGGGGGGGGGGAAGTTCAATACAGTCCTTAACCTCAGGAAAGTTACTGACAATATGATGCAAAAATCTATACCTTCTATGTATATTTTAGAATCATCACATAAGACCAGGTTTTACTAGCAGCAGAACATGAAATCCCAAAGCGGATGATTAATAGCCAAGTCCTAAGATCCACCACAACACTAAGAAATTATGCATATCGTAGCGATGGGCTGTTGCAAAGTGTAACTGAAACAAACGTAACACTAGAAAATGATCAAACAGGATGTTCACTACTTACCTCACCACGTGAACTTTAATCATCGGACCAAGTAACACGTTGTTCACCTCAATGTATTCGCATTTGACGAGTGTATCAAACACCTGTTTCAGATCATCACATTTGCCCTGCTCCGCCAGTGAGTTAAGGAGTCGCCAGCAAGCCGCACTGTACTGAAATGTTCGGTCCTCCAATTTACGTTCCCCCGAGTGCTCATTCAGAAAATTAATTGCCTCTGAAAACACAGAAATTAATGTAATGAAGTTCTCACAGTGGTGAAGACATTGACTGTGACCTTCTTGGTCTCAAGACGGAGGTAATACGTAAACCTGCTGTAGCCGTGCTTACATGAAGTAAATGCGTAAATTAAGAGCACTGTAAAATTCTTGGAAATTTCACACCATTTGATGAAAATAGTGATTCGGACTATCAGACAACGTGTCGAGGACTGAATTTGATTATATTCATAGATTTTCTAAGAATGTAAGAAACCCAGACTTCCTATAGTTAAGATATATAACAATCTTACAAATGAAAGTAATAAAAAAACAACTGAACATATATTTTTTACCTGGTACTTTGTCACACTTTATTAACAGAGTAACAATTTTTATGATCTTTGAACTGTCCATTGCAAAGTCAGGTTCTTTCTCTTGTAATTTCTTTAAAATGCTCTGCACTTCCTCCAGTTTATCGTGATGGGCATATAGTTCCAACATATGAGCATATATTCCACCAGTAAAAACAAAATTATCTGCTTCCAATTCCTAATAACAAAACAAAACAAAATTTACCAGATGCAGATCTTACAATAGAAAATTTCTAATATTCCTCTGTTTGGTTTTCTATTTGTAAGAAATTCTACCATTCTCTTCCATCTAGTTTTGAGGTCTAGATTTGCGTACACATTAAGTTATGCTGTTTTAATGTTACATTGGGATGAGAATTCTGCGGAACTGCAGCTGCTGAGTCCACTGCTCATCCGCAGATGACTAACACAGCAAAACTGGTAGACTGTGAAGTTGTAAACTCAATTAAACTGGCTCATAATATCATATATTGTTTTTATGGTCGTGAACCATCAGGTTCCGTAACAGTAAATTCTTTTAAACGGCTACAAAAGGAAATGTTGGTGCCTAATTACTCAGTCAATGTATTTTAATGAGTCATGGCTGTATGAAATACATTACCTTCATTATCTGCTCAGCTTTTTCAAGATCCCTGTTGCGACAGTATAAGAGGAGAAGTTGTCTCTTAATGCCTCGAGTAGATTCGCCTTTCTCCTCTAGCATTTTCTGGATTTTCAGCAACTGTCCCTCATCCTGAAAACATAAGACAAGTGAAGACAGCTTCTGCCACACACTATACTTCATCGCGCAGTTCACATCCTTCTCCAAAATTTCCCGATTAATAAAAACTATGACACATTTTTTCAATGGTTCGTCATGGCAACTACGACAACCAACTTGAACTACCCACAGTTTTAGCATTTCCTCTGGAAAACTAGATAGGCCTATACAGGGTTACCAGGTAACACGAGCAAAATATACAAGGGACATACGATCATACTCCATATTAAGCAACATGAAATGGTGACCCCAAAGTGAGAGAAGTGACCACAACCTGACTCCACCATCCAGTCATATAACGAGACCAAATGACATACATATAAGCAACTTCTGTCATTCCTCAAATCTATCACAAAGATGGAGACACAGTTAGTCTTCAAAATGTTGGCATTTGACTCAAAAGTGACATGGTTGATTGCGTCAGAAAATTTTGTAACATTCATGTGCTTATTTTTTACTTAAACACTTCGCATATTTATTAAATGAAATTTCAAGTAACACCTATCACTTATGTTTGGAATGGCACCACATCTAACATGTCACATTCACGCAGCAGCAAGGTCACACCTGAGACTACCGCATATAGCAATAACTCACCATGGCAGCTGGTGGGGGCGGTGTAGGTCTGGTCAACGTGGTGGGAACAAGTTCTCCGGATGTCAACTTCCCCAGAAGGTTGGATATTTCACTTGTCAATTCTTCTCCGAGTTTTTCCTGCAGACGTTCTGCAGAACTATTGCTCAAACCAAGTCCCTGTTCTACCAGTCCCTAGAAAACAGCATAAGCGATGCTAGACGGCAATCTTCCAACCTGACAAAATCATTCTAGTACTTCACGCTTAGAAATAAAGATAAAAGGTGAAACTATCCCTACGCTGCAGTATCAATCCAAGATGTGCGAATGGAGGTAAAACTGCACGTTTCCTTATCCTTGGCACTGTCTCACCAAAGAATGATTCTAATGTTGAAAGAAGAGTGGATAATTCACCTCTAACCACACCACGTCAGTGGCAGAGACGAACTTGCACATCACCGTCAACCGACGATGTGCGTTTTGCACAGGATGATTAAATTCATTCGTGGAAGGGATTAATAAATACATTAAAAGTATATCAAATATATTTGGTTTTGGTATTGCATGATTTAATTGAAATAAATCTTACCTGCAATATTACTTCAATCCTTCGCACTCTATTATGGCTGACAGATGCAATATCTAGTATAAAATTTCCAACAAGCTCTGTACGGTCTGGCACCACTGAAGCCGAGTCGTCGTCTGCAAGCACCGCTCTGTCAACGCTGTCGTGGATTTGCCGTAAAATGGAAATAAATGAATCTCTGTCTTCAGTATGAAGGTATGCCTGCACTAAAGGTCTTCTTAGCGATGAAGCTGAGTAGAAGGCACGATACCGCATTGCTGTCCGAACAATTGCAATGGAAAAAGTAAAACACGCCGACAAACATGACGAAACCATCGAGTATCATCGGTAACAGCATGGGAGATCAGATAGGAGATTAACTTGAAATATTACATGGGTTGGCACTTCCAGATGGTTACAAATAACAATCTTTGTCCATTATGTATTTTAAAGGGCAAAAACATGTGATCACTCAGATAAATGTTTTGAATTACAGACCAATTTTTCTCACGAGGCTTAATTGACTGCGGTAACTTCAAAATAGCCAAACTCACACCCCAAAGGAATTGATCTTAAGTTACACTTATTTTTGGACATGCTGCTTTTACCATGAACCACTTCCTTATATAAGTACCCACATAACATTTATGTGGTTACATGTATTTTTCATTGCTGGTATGATATACGCAAGTTGCTGTGGCTTTCAATGGCTTCTTTGTGGTCAAAACCTAAATCAAAATCTACAAACAACATGAGTCCAGGACTCGTCATATTTGTGGGAAACAGACAATAGATAAGGATACCCATGCTTAGTAAGTGAATGAACTGACGTGGTTCTTGAGGGAAATGACGCATTTACCCCTGGTGAGTTCCATAACATCAACAGTTGAATTCTATCGAAAAGTGTGGACTCATAGTTTTGCAATCGACTGAAAGTCATGATTGGGAGGGAAGCAATACAACACACAGAACGGTGAATTTAATGTTATATTGCACAGGTTAGGTTAGAAGTTACTGCCCTCCTTACCAGTTTGTGCTGCTTCTGCTATCATGTTCATGTTCAGGCGATAATTTACGAGAGCGCTTGCGGCAGTTGCTGTGGTAATTCCACAGCTTCTGAGACGCGATATTATTTGATCAGACGATTGCTTTTCCAAGCTAGGAATAACATAGTCCTTCAGCGTTTCCCCTCCAGCCGTTAACCCAAACTCAGTACACATGCGTGACAGTATATCTAACACATCTGCAATCATTCAAAATCAGAACAAAGGTTTAGTTATCAAGCACGGTCACAAAATAAGAGGATCAAATACTCTTCTAAGATTAAATCTTCTCCCTTCACTATCAGGATATTCATGTTGCCTTCTCCTGTATAAAAACCCAACGATTAAAATAAATGTATTCTGAAGTAACAGTCTATATTTAAAATTCAGTCTGATGGTAATAAAAAATAAAGCATTCTAACAACACACACGCCAAATTCCGTATGGAGATTTACATTCTGTATATAAAACTTTAATGTCTCAACAAAAATGCCAGTGCAAATATTTGTTTTAATTTGACAAATTTATATTAGTCAGAATCTGTACTAGTGGAAATTACCGTTATGTAGGAAAACAGATGATTGTGCAATTATTAACCGATAGTTCCTGTTAACCTCCTCATGCAGACTTGCTTCCCTGTTAATACGAGGCGCGTCCTCAAAGTAAGTTTCCCACTCGTCCCAAAGCTAGCAAACCTTATATTGCGCGAAGCGACTGTGCGTACGTGATAGAGCAATGACGTAGCATGGCGCATGCACTAACGGCACCTCCCGCGTTCTCACAGTAGCATCGTTGCAGCTGTTGAAGATGGAGGTTCTTATTCCAGCTCCCGCCGACTGTGAAGTGCGGTCAGTGATAACGCTAAGCCGCACACGGCTCGACGGACAGCAAGTCTCCTGCAGGAGTTCAGCTGGGAGGTGTTTAATCATCCACCCTACAGCCCGGACCTCGCTCCCAGTGATTTCCATCTTTTCCTACACCTCAAGAAATTCCTGTCCGGTCAGCGTCAGCGTTTTGAGAATGACAGAGAGGCGGAGATGGCTGTCACACAGTGGTTCCAATCCCAGGCGGCAGACTTCTACGACACAGGTATTCAAAAGTTGGTCCCACGGTATGACAAATGTCTCAATTCCGGTGGCGAATATGTTGAAAAATAGCTGGACACTTGCTGTATCTGTTGCAATAAATATTTCCATGAAATTGTGTTTTGTTTCTGTAAACGGCCCCAGGGAAACTTACTTTGTGGACGCGCCTCGTATACCAAGCCTGTTACTGGTATCTCCATGGTCAGTACAGGAATGAAAACAATAAATGATGCTTACCATTGACATTGTCACGATGGCTGGCGAGGAGAGGCCAGAAATAATGCTGTCTGATGGGTATATTGTTTTCTTTCATTGTGTGCATAAGGGCACAGGCCTGATCAATATTCCGTGACTGGATGCTGCATTCCACAGCCACCAATAGTGCCCGTGGGTTTAAATCTTCTTTCTCCAATTTATCACATATGGATATAATTTTCTCTACTGGCTGAAATTAAACAGATAACAACATACTTGGATCTCACATCGGGACTAGAACGCTTTGGCCCAATTAAGCGAAGTTCCACGAAAAGAGTTAAAAAAGTTTGCTCTTTAAGATTTGTTTCGAAATAAACGGCTTCCCCCGATTAACCAATGGCCCAATTAACTGCAGACAGGAATAATGGAAAGCATCAAGAACAGAAAATACATTGAAGGAGTCTTAATTGGTCAATTCTTTTAAATTTTTTCTGTAGCATTACTATAGATCAGAGGAACATTAATATTGTCTCAATGCATTTCCACATCACTATACAAAGGAATAAGCAAACAGAAGGGGGGGGGGGGGGGAGTAATCATGAGTACTGAGACTTGCAAAGAATTGTAGAAAATATGCAGAATTTATTCAGAAGTAATTGTATCACCTCTTTATTATTATTCCTTACTCACCCTATTCGCCTTCACAAGCTGGCGGATAAAGAAGGAGCCTACAAACCCTTGTTCTCCATCGGATCGAGATGGCCGTGGCATTGTAAGAAGAATCTTATACCCAAGATCCTCATGTCCGCAATTCACAAGGCGTAAGATTAGATTCACAGCATCCTGATTATATCCCGCTGTCTGTCTCATTCGGTCTATCAACTTAACAAAAAGAAAAGCACAGATCAAGATTTTCATGTCGGCGCTTATTTCCGAACAAAGTAAACTGCGTGGTTTTTGTAATGGAGATTCACTGCGTTTTCTTTGAGGATAAAGTTTTACGTATAATTTCAACGACTTTCGGCCTCAATGGTTTGATAAGAATTATTCCGAAGCAGGGGTGTAAGTGGCAAGGGGAAAAGTTCGCATGCCAGACGTAAGTTAAGAAAATTGATCCATGTGTATACATTAAAATGCAGAAAAGTCGTCCCATCGCACGTCATGCTGGCACTTAGGGGAGAGGCAGTATAGCTCCTACTGATTCTCAACCTTGGCACTAGATGGGGGTAAGTGGTAAGCGTCGCGCCCTGGCCGCGCTTTAACCCTGGAAAAGGGTCCCGTTACCCATCGGACAGGAGGCTGGGTGGGCCCCACAGCCGGTCTGGACTCAGAGGTCAGAAGAAAATCCTCTGCCTCCGTCGGGGATCGAACTCGTAGCCAGTCAGTATACTGACTGAGATACCTGCCTCACTTTTAAACGTAAACGCAAAACAAACTTACTTTATCGACATGTTCCAGATGGTTATTGATAGCAAGAGAGTATATAACCTCCATATAATCTCTGTCTAAGAGCTGTATATCCTTAGCATCGCACTGCTCTAATGTCTTGGCGATTGCATCAATATCACCTTTCTTAGCATAGCCACAGAGCAGAGTGGTGTAGGTGTCAGCACTAGGCTCAAGTCCTGCCTGCTGCATAACTCCAAGGATACCAGATGCGCTTTCCATATCACTGAGGGGTAACCAAAACAAATATGAACATGTTTAGAACTCAACGTGTTCATCACTGTTGTCACTAAAATCTGCTATTTGTTGAACAGAGTAAATAAATATTTAATTTAGTGACGTACTCAGCCTGCGAATGCCCCATAATGAGGGCGTTGAACACATTTTCATTCACGGGCAGCTGCTTTTCTCGCATAAATTCGAGGATGCGGGTGGCTCCCTCAATGTCACCATGCTGGCAGTAACGTGAAATCAGACGCTGATACGTCACTCTGTTTGGTTCAACACCTTTATGTTCCATATTTGCCAGAAAATCAGTAGGAGAAAACAGATGTTCATTTTCCAAGTACACTCGAAGCAATGCGTTGTAATGACTAACATCCATTGGAACTCCTGCAATATAAACAATAAACAGTGTTCGCCACTGTACACAGATTTTATAAACTGCAAAATCCCCTAACATGAATGGAAAGTAGAGAAATTAAGTCTGGTATAAATAAGGAAAACTGTAAAGGTAAAGGCCCCACCTATCTGATTCTCCTTGATCTAACAATCCTAATAATATCTGACAGAGGCTACAACTTACGAAGCTCCTCATTATACAACTTTAAAACTCACTGTACACAAGGCTACAACTTATGAAGCTCCTCATTATACAACTTTAAAACCTAAATAGTCAAACAAATCATTCCTTTCATGCACCAATATTTTTAGTATAATGCCTATTAGTGAAGTCAAACCATTCCTTTCATGCAACAATATTTTTAGTATAATGCCTATTAGTGCATGAAGTTGTTCTTATGGGCAAACGAATGTTAGAGCATGACATAAAATTCATGTTTACAAAGAAACAAATGTTAAAGCATGACATAAAATTCATGTTTACAAATCACGGAAACAGAAATTATGTGCGGATACCGATATTCTCCAGAGTCTTCCAGATTTCTTCAACCAACTGAGTACGGACTTCCGGAGAAGCCTCCGGCACCAAATTGCCGCAGCATCGAATAATGAGAAGAGACTGTGTACTTGTAGCAGATCCTGTTAAAAGAAAAATTAAAGTAACAGTACTGTATACTCATTCTTTAAGTTATTAACGAATTTCTAAGCTGATATGTAAAGGTACACACAAGCGCATGCAGACAGCTTAAACGTCTGGCTGCAGGGAGTCAGTACAATGCAGTCAGGCTTCATGGAATATATGGAAACGCACAAACGTGGACAAGTCTAGTGTTATGCACAGAAAGAGAGAGGGAGACATTGACTGACCAGCAAATATGCAACTATGTTCCTTGCTACAGTGCATCCTGCAGCCACCCGCCTTCATTCACATGTTTAAGTACAGACAAAACATAAATTTACAACTCAATGACATACTACAGTATTTAATTTAATCTGCTTCAAACAGCTATATCAAATATTTCATAATGAAAGCCTAAAAAACCTCAAAACTTAGGTATATGTACACTAAACCCATTGTTAACTATATCTTGCATGTGATCATACTTAACAGCTGCCAACTGAAAGGACGTCTTACAGCCATCAGAATATGCCAGTACATTGAGCACATTCCTTAAAATTACCAACAAATTCCCAACTAAAATAAATTTATATATACACAATTTGTTATTAGTTCTTAGTATCATAAGCGTTCTTTTGGCCCTATATAATCATACTTGTGTGACGTAATTCCTCCAACACAATTTCCAGTTCTCTTCTTGTTATTCTTCCTGTGCGACGTACATCATGATCAAGACGCTTAAGGCTTTTGTCAAGATTTGAATCATTATGGCTATGCGATGGAACAGCTTGCGTTGCCAGAGACCTAAATGTATAGAAGGATTAATTTTTATGCATGAAATGAGCAGAATTTAAACCAAACTTTTAAAAATAAACTAGGAAACCTATTGTGATTACTAGCATACTGAAATTGTCCCTACAATGTTATATAACAAGTCTTTTATAGCTGACAAAGGAATGAACCTTGATAAAGAACAGGATATTTCTGAGCTCTTGAAGAATATCGTATCATACATTCTGTCCTCCAGAGTACACACTTGCAACATCATTACATCTTTTACTGACAAACATGGATAATTTGTTTTATTTACATTTATCAGATCCATGAAACTTTGGATAATAACATGGAGGCAGCCACATTAAGATGCATGAGTGGAGAAATATACTGAAATGGAAATAATGAAACAGACTGTTGAATTTAAGTAAAGTGGCTAAGGAGAGACAAACCTTTACATCATCAGCGATGTACAAATCTTTAAGTTCTGGGGGCTACTTTACATTCGAAGATCCTTACATTGGTTTACTCAATGTATTCAGTGAATCCAGTGTAGAAAAGTCAAACAAAGTTCAGGTGAAGGCAGCCTACTCACGAACACATTATATGAATCCCAAACAGTAAATTTGTTAAATAGCCTGAAAAACTTAGAAACAGAAGAAAAACTACAATCCACTACATAAGAATAAAGTGCATGACTTTCTATGTGTATTACATTAACAATAGTTTTTTTCTGAAACAATGTACCGGTCTGTATGACCTAACCCCACTGCACATGGTGTAAACTACTGAAACTTACTTCGTAAGACCAGTACTTAAACACTGACTGTTTTGTATAATTGCTCCATCGACATCTCTTCTACTTGAATTAAAAACTATACTTCGTGCTAGGCTACCGAAATTACGGACATATTTTGATGAACGCAGAATACAAGCCATACTCTTTACCAAATGCAACCCTCGCGACACCAAAGGTAACTTGAAAAAGTCCATGGTAACTTGCAACATCGAAATTACGAAGGTTAAAGAAATTTACCATACCATTTGCTCTCTTTGGCAAGGATGGCTGTCACATATAATCGTCTTTGAATCTGTATAATCCTTCCTTCATGTAACTACACTTATTTATAACAGATGTCACCTATGGTTCCCGATATTTGTACGCTGACTCTGCGCTCTTGGTATTTGCCCCCTAGGTTGTGACGCTGTATGGACTTGTACGACATGACCAACGTTTTGGAAGAACAAATGATTAATTCTGAAAATAGAGACAGTGCGTTCCAGCGAAACGTTGGTAACAATCTTCGAGACCACAAGGGCGTCAAAATTTCCTACCCTTACTAAGATTAGTCAAAGCTTCCTCTAAATCTACACTAATGAAACCCAAAATTCAGTGACATAACCCACATTCATGAGAACCTGAACATTAATTATCATCTTATCATTGGTAAAATTTCAGTTTATCACGGCGACGAACATGAAGATGTCTTCTGGGATGTTGGGACGTGTTGTCGGGGGTAAAAATTGAATGACGTTTCAGAGAAGCTTGTTGTCCCCCATCTGATCCACATCTCTCCCGAAATTAACAAAAATGATATATTTTTTCAATTGAAATTTGGTTAATTCTGCATTAACGTTACATTTTGAAATTCTACATCGCTTTTACAAATCTAAATAATGATTAATAATAGTAATATATTGCATGTAATTATTTAGACTTAAATATTTTCACGTTATACTTTCGTATTCATGACGTTAAAACAGTTTCGTGTACATAAATTTGTAAAAAAAAAAATCGCTATCAGGAAAACGCGTGTATTAAAAGCACCTTCCTCCCTGATAAGTCGTTACGTGTCGTGTAATACAGCAGCCATTAAGTAACTCGGCATTATTGTATTTGTGTGTTCAGGTATTGACCAGAACAGACGGCGAAGTGCAATGAGCTCTAGTGTATTAGTGTTGAAGGAATCGCAGACATGATTGCCTCTTATTACGAGAAGTGGCGAGTTCAACTAACGTCATTGTATCCATAACGACAATGGAATAAGTCGTCCAGGTAAGTACATGGCGATCTTTTATTGTTGTTAAAGGCTGTAAAAATACTTATATACATAATGTAAAATAGATGAGGTCGATGAGATAACGTGAACGGAAGGGTATACACTCTTATTAACTTTGAAAAGGTCTAATAATTATAGATCAACTCTTTCTAAGAAAAAGTGTTCCCTTAAGTGGCACTCGCCTGTTAATGGTTACTTACCTGATGCAGTTACAATAATATTTCAGGAATACGAAATCAGTCAAACATTTTCTCGACTCACGATACGACAGATCGTAAAAGTTAAATTATGTGTAATTATCTCTAAAACTGCAAGACTTGATAACATACTCTTTCTCAACTCGCCCCGGAGACAGGATATTCTGACTGAGGATCTTCGTGGTTTTCCTCAGTACCTCTAGGAAAAATGCCGGGATAGTACCTTGAAATAGGCCACGACAACTTCCTTTCGACATCCTTTCTAATTAATTATTCACTAGTATCCTCTCATTCGACGCAACATAGTCTGAGTTTCTGAAAAACGTCGTTAAATAAACTCTTTTAAGGCTGGAATAATTAGTAGTCAGATAAGTACATACGTAAGTCTATTTACCAAATTTGTAATTAAAATAAATGTGGATGTCTTCTGGGTTGTACCGCTGTGTAGTCTGGTAGAAGCTAACCGACGTTTCAGAGGTCTTTGCTGCCTCCATCATCAGGGCGATGAAAATAGAAGACATACATATTCTGTTTGTTGTCGTCTTCTGAGTTATGACGCCATGTAGTTGGTTATCAGCATTTCGGAGGAATATATCGCCTCCTTCTTCAGAGTAGAAATGAAATAATACAGCCGTATCTGCTGCAGTGTTTATATGGCCTGAATGATTGAAGTTAGGAATATTATGAATATCGGGTTGGTAAATAATTATGTGGGAAGAAATTGTTATAAGTTATTTTACATTTATATACAGAACTTGACATGGTGAGACTGAAGCAAATTATGAAACTTTCCTAATGAAAATTAAGTTGCTCGAATTTAAGGGCTTAATTTCATTTTCGTAGCAAAGGATGTCTGAAGGCGTTTATATGCGTGTTTTGTCTTCGCCAGATGTAGCAGAGGTCGGCGTTTTGCATGATAACCTAGCAAAAATGAAGATCCATAATTGGATTCTTGCGTGAGAGTTTGTGCTTAATCAAGAACCTCGTTTGTCAAGATGGTCTGATTCCTGACGGTGCAACACTTACGTATTCCCACGAGTTTGTTACATATTCTTGCAAACATAAGGCAACCGTCAATTCTGTGAGATATTTTACATGTATTCAGTGACGAGAACCATTAATGCACGAAAGATAAAGGTACAGACCGGACCCAACGCCACTATTGCTGCGTTTGGATTTCTTGCCTCCAGGGTCGCCACCGTCAGAACATAATTTTAAATTTCTTCCGAACTGCGCAGTCGTAGACGGACACTGGTTATTATATAGGAGTGAACATATTTTCAACATCTTCAAATAGCTAATAACTATGAACTACATTACAAATAAAAATTGTGGACCTGCTGCACGCTTTTTCATTGTAGACCTATGTATTTACAGGAGCCAGTTTAATAGATCGTAAATACTCACCTCCAACTAGTGTTGAGGTTAAGAATCCGTACTTAGAAGTTCTGAAACGTAAACACTTAAAACGTGTGCTGAGTACCAATGTGATAACCTGTCACGTATCTGAACAGTCCTGCTGAGTAAATGCTGAGGAAGACAAAGAAACGTAATGTGGTAATGGACCAGTTCGCAAGGGGAGACCATCTTCACGCAAGAAGACGAGATTATGGACCACAGTACGGACAGCAAATTCACACTATCAGCGGGAGCTTTGGAAAGGTCAATTTCGGTAAGAAGCCACAGAAAAATCTATGTCTGTAAATACAGGTTTATATAAATGTTACGTAACACAAATTTGAATATTTGTTTATGGTTGCAATTCGATTAGTTTAATAAACACATAATATAGCTGTGACCATACACATCATGTTGTAACCTGCTTACGCCAGTCCGTAAATTGTTTTTCAACAATAGAATTGCAAGGATGTCTTTTTTTTTTCCAGTAGTCAAAAGAGTGTTCATTGTTGAATACTCCCTGGCGTCTCGTTCTTACTTAAAGTTGCCAGAATGAATTTAGAGATATGTTTATCGATTCTCCTGTACCAAACAAATCGATAATATCTCGTTTGATGAATCGTTTCAATGTCGCACAGAAACTCTTCACCGGGGTTAATCAGACATGAGGAAAAGAGTAAATTCTTTCATCGCTGAACATCTCCAACACTTAATACTTTATTTTTGATTCCTGATTTCAGTTTATTTGTTGACAAACAGAATATGCGTCAGAAATGGGTTCCATGATTCTTCGATTATTCTATATAATAAAACACCAAGAGATATGAGAACATTTCTATTTCCATGTTCACACAGCAATTTGCTTCTCCTGTAACATCATAATGTTGGTAAAAGTGGAGGCAGGCCTGGGTATTTGTGTACCATAGGCAATCAATGCAATCTACGGAACAGACAACAGCGGTTCGAATCCTAGCAGTGACAAAAGTTCATTTTGCCACAGTCAAGCCTCCTATCCAATGGGTACCAAAGGTTTTCTCGGGGGTAAGGCGACCGAGGCGTGAACGCAGAACAACATCGTCATTTTGTTACCGATATTTCTCTGCATGACGTGGTGAAGGCAAAGTTCAATATGAACAGAATATTTAAATCGACTTTCCTTGTTCTTCTGGTTTCCATTAAGAAGTAATGGACGTAAAACATGATACATGCGATTTTTTAATCCCAGCCGGTCTCTGATCAAGACGATAAGCAATAAAGGTCAGTATAGAATTACTCATTCACGCTGCATTATGGGAGAAAAAAATGTTAACCCCCACGAATTTCATTTCGATCGAAATCCAAAAATAGTTTCAATTAACTGATAAAACAGAATAATGCGGTTCCATGTTGTACGCCTAATGGTGTCATGCGTAAAGTGACGATAATAGCATACCCAGAAACACTCCCCACCTTTAAGTTCACATTTTAATCTGTCGTCAATGTGTGTAACTTCGACTTTCGGGGTTGAGCCGCGTAGAATGTTAAGAATTAAACCAAAGTTTCGTCAAAAATTCCAGCTGCCATCTTCAGGGTGAATGTGTCGCCAAGTTAAACAAACCACTTCTACTCAAAAAACGTATGGCAGCTACGAAACAGTTTCTCACTGAACAAGGGCAGAAAAAGTTTCTTAATTCTCCATTCATTAGGTTCATAAAACAAAACAAAAATTTAAATAAATATTTTCTACAGCTACCATGATGTTTTACGATCTATAAAAAATGCTGCTTAACAACTCACGTATTTTTCTACAACCTATTACCACATAAAACTAACCAGAACAGAAGTAGGTAATATTTTGCTACTGTTTTCCGACTTTGCATTTCAGTACGCCGAACATAGATTGAAAACAGCCAAGATGGATTGAAATTTAAATCGAAATAAAAACTGTCCTCAATACATAAGCTCCGCTCCTTCAACGCAACCAGATGACACGAGGGACACGCCGGTCAGGATATCGAGAACAGAAATTGGACCCTCCTGCAAACACGAATAAGACATTCGGTGACCTAAAAGTGCATCCAACTATTTGTTACAGATGGTAGCCATGGCTACACCAGAAATATACATCTCGCGCAACACGGCAACAAACTCATCGGTCGCGCCGTGCCGAGCTGCAGTTGCACAACATGTGTTGATTTGTTCAACGAATTCTGTGACAGGAGCACCTTGCATGGTCTCAAATATGTCGGCGACAAAAAGCTGCACTTTGTGGAAAGGTACACATAAAATTTACATCAGCCACTCAAATGCCTGTGAACGTACCTGAACATCAGAACTCTTTCTATCTGATCTACCAGATTAATCTTGCGTTCCATCTTCATAACTCGAAGCTCTCGCGGCGACTGTACGAAATATTCCAACATCACCACGGATGATAATATCACTTCCTGAAATGTACGACCACGGATCCATATTGATGTGGCTGGTCACCAAAGATTCTACCTGTTTCTCTGTATGGGTGTGGAACATGGTCTCACATTACAGGAAGAAATTAAAGGAGGTTGGAGAAAACTGTACAATGAGAAGCTAATAAAAATTCTACTTACCACCAAATATTATTACTGTAGAACATACGAAAGCGATGATAAATGCACAGCAATCTTATTCAAAAACCTCGTTGGAGATCTAGGCATAGATGGAAGGATAATATTAAAATGGATAAGTAAAATAAGAGACTGTGGGATGGATCTATCTGGCAGGTTCTTGCATACAATGAAGAAATGCGGGAATTTGATTTATTGACGATTAGCTCACAGAGTGAGTCAGAGAGTGATCGTGTTGTTTTCAGGTTGTTTTGGTCAGTGGCATTCATTCTTGCCACCATTACTGCGGGCTACTTCATCAACACTGTTTACGCCAAGTGGGACGAGACCCCGGTCATCGTCTCCATTGGGGCAAGGACTACTCAACTCACCGACATTCCGTTCCCAGCGATCACCATCTGCACCATGAATGAAGTACGGAAATCTGAAGCTGACAGGATAAACAAATCAAAGTACACAATGAATTAAGCACAAACATTTGCTAATATCTGTCGCTTGTTTTACAACCTAACCCTACTTTATGTTCATTTATTTGTATTTTGTTTAATGATGCTGTCGGTAGTCCTTACTAAGTAATTAATATTAAGTGAAAATGTAAAATACAAATTTAAGTCACAATTGTTTGAATGGTTTTGAAGATGACACATTCAGATGTAATAGCTTCATTGAATTTGTGTTTTAATTTTACGCAAACAGAAAGAAGACTTATTTGCATGTGACGTACAGAAAGATTTTTTTTTACGTTATCTCTGTTCTGATATACTCTTTTCTTCTTGCAGAAATAAAACAGACATATTATTCCAGAAACTGATGAAGGATGTGTGTAATAATTCTAACAAAGAGAAACCGATAACCAAATATAGTAATAAATCCGATGGCTTTGACACTATCCTAAACTTCATGGTGACGGTAAGTAAATAAAACAGTGCCACAGACCCATGCATCCCACATAGATCCTTATGTTATTATTATACAAAAGCTTTTTCTTTTTTAATTTTATCTGAACAAGGTGTAAACGATCACACGTTTCCAGCCTTCTCACAGCTCATCACATTTCAGTCTCTACTGTTGATGTCAATTTATTATAGAAACAAATATACTGGTACATAATTAATTACATACAAAACTGGAGTCATAAAATAATAAAAGAACTACAAATGCTATTAGGCTCTACATTTCATATTTCACGAAGAACCATTTTTGAGGAAAATGAAAAATTAGATTGAGGTTATACTGAACCAAAAAACAGAAATATTAAATTCGCCCAACAACTTCCACTGTCGACTCCCCTTCCAGTACCAAAATGTATAAAAATTTAGAGACTAACTATATAACTCACTCTTAATTAATTTACATATTATATTAATGAACGCCTCTAAAATTTATTCTGGTACGAAATATGCGTACGAAGATTTCTGTCTTCCGGATTGTTGCGCCGTGTAGTATGGTAGATGTTTACCAACGTTTCAGAGGTCATCGCCCATCTGAAACGTAGGTTGAAATCTACCATACTACACGGTGCGACAACCCAGAAGACAGAAATCTTAAGACACACTGCTGTGAAAACCTCAAGTCATAAAAATATGCATACCTTTGATTTATTTATAGGTTACACACAACTGATCTAAAACAGTCTGTACCTCATTGACAGCGGCAGGCCACATCAACCGGTGTATTATTGGTTCTATGTTTGGTTCCACATTCACGTAGCTTTCGCACTCTGTTACAGGTCAGACAGCCATGCCATGAAATGATCAAAGCTTGTTACTTTGCTGGGGATCTTAAGAATTGCACTGACATCTTTAACCCTTCACTAACAGATGAAGGAATCTGCTGTTCCTTCAACAAAGTGAAGAGAGAGTATATATTCAGAAACCCGTAAGCCATAACTCTAAAAACATCAGAGAAATTAAACATACTGAATTCTCTATGGCAGCCAATTCCATGGTAAATCATCTTACTTGATCTAGCCAATGAAAAGTCAAGCAGTTATTTGTCAGCTCAGTCCAATCAAGATTTGTGCTGCACAAAGTGACACTGGGGCAGATATTTATGAGAAAATTCAGTTTGCCCCCGAATTCATCATTCTACCGATGCTCCATCCCCATCTGCCATCATCAGTGGATGGCATACTTGAGGTTGCAGGTCTAAGATCTATATCCGGGGAAATCCGCAGTCAACCACGAGGGACATCTCCAATAATTACATCATAACTCAGCCACATGCCCACGCACAGGCCATTTACCCCTTACAATTCCAATGGAAATCTGAACAGAATTGTTACGATATGCATTTATGATATATATTTCCTAACTTGTTACAGACGTAATCTCTCCGATCTGAATGTGACCTTTCCAATGGATACCGTAGACTGGACTCCGGAAGCAGGATATCCACCTAGCAGTTCCCCCGATACACTCCCCTGGAGACCTCGTGGTTCAGGGACTCACTTGGGATTGACTATTGTCTTAGATGCAGAATTACAACAATTTCACTGTTCGACATCTGCGAGTGTTGGCTTCAAGGTGAGGGCCACGGCTTACACTGGGCATTTGCACGAATTTTTTCATGTCATTTCAACCGTCATTTTATCATTTTTTTCTACAAGACAAAGAAATCTTTTGGACAACTGGAGACAATTCAGTGACATTCAGCACAATGCCTTCAAAATCCATACAGTACAACTCTATCGGCCATCCCAAAGTTAAAGCTCTTAAGAGGCGGATTCTTACCACAAAATAATCTCTCAATACCCATTTAATTAAGATCCAAGGTCCAGAAATGGATGGACAGATGCAGCATTCTTTTTTTTTTGCATTTTTTAAACAAATTTAATTCGACACACACATTAAAACAGTGTGACTAAATCATCTTTCAATGGTCTGGTATGTCACACCGTTTCAGTTGCTCCTTCACAATCCAGTGGAGACGCCCAAGATCGCAGACTTTGGGTCACTGATAGCGCCAGGAAGAGAGTATCGGATAAAAATCAAGCCAGTCATTAACAACTCCACAATGTCACTCCGTAATGTGAAAGAAGTAAGCCGACAGTGCGCCTATTCACAAGACAAGTATCTTCAGTTTTACCGTACATACACAAAGAGGAACTGCATTCTGGAGTGTGAGGCCAACTATACCTTCGATGTCTGCAAATGCGTCCCATTCTACCTGCCAAGTACGTGACAACAAATTAAGACAGTTCATTATTTTAAGTGCCCCATTTTTCAAGGCAGAAGGCAAGTTTTACATGAGTCTATTTTAATCAAATGTCAGATTTATAATTTTAAAATTGTTGAATTTGTTTCAGAGGACATTAATACTCCTATATGTGGCAAGGAGGAGGAGAGTTGTGCAAACAAGGCTCGAAGTGAGTAGAATAACTTTTAAGCTGCAAATTATACAGGTTCATTTTGGCTGTTTTGCGATGTATTAATAACAAATATTCTTGTGTGCATTGAATCAGACAGTAACACTTACATACATTACCAACGCCCACTTATAATCGCAACCCAATCTCAGACATTGATTCCCTGGCATATTCCAATATTATCTTACCACAGCCTTCTCAATAAAAATACTGATCTCGACATAAAATGACAATCATGCAATAAAATAAATGGCATAATTGAAAGGAACAATGCAAAGAAATTTTTATGTATCACAGAAAAGGATGGTCGTGGGAGGGGGGCAGTAGGGACTGAAAAAAAAATCTAAAGACTCGAGACAGCACAAATTTAAATTAAAAAACCTTTACTGGGTATTACAGAACTACATAACCAGGAGAATACTGGAATTTGCAGTCATTCTCGATAAGATGATATTTGTTCAGCTGGTCAAGAAACTCCCCACCTCTTATTGAGCCTGAAGGTTCATTACTGCGTCCACCAGAGTCTGCCACCGTACACCCTAATCCAAATCAGACGAATCGTTATCCCCACACCTAATTTATTTAAGATTAATTTTAATATTATCCTCCCATCCATGCCATTTTCCCCGCATGTGACTAAAAATTTTGTATGCATTTTCAGTCTGTTCCATACACATTTCTTTCTCTGTCTATATTATGTCCCTTAACTGTCGGGTTTCAGAGCTTCTTGATATGAAGATTCTAAAAGAAGGTCAAATTGACATGCCAGAAGATTGGATTAACCCTGTCTGTCAGTGTCTGCCCGGATGCAACGAAATCAGTTACGTGTCGTCCATGACCCACAGCCACATGAATGCATCGTTTGCTGCGAATAAAGGCTACATAGAAGAAGCAGTCCTGTTAAATGATGAAATGAGGTAAAAAATGATGCTGCATTCTGGAACAAAAAGTGCTGAATGAATTCAAAGGGACACCTGTGAAAAAAAGACAACATCTTTCCTACAAGGCCAAATTCGACAAAATTTAAACAGCACAATTTTTAAAGAGATAAGAATATCAGTCATACACCATGAAATTCAATAAATCTCCAAATTTAATCAGATTCCCTATATTTCAATTTCAGAAACAGTATTACGGTGGTGCATCTCTACTTCACGGAGACGCAATTCCTGAGCTACTATAAGACAGAGCTGTTTGGTCTCAGTGAGTTTCTATGTAAGTCATGCCCCATGCCTGTTCCCAAATGACATATATATGTCCAAATCAGTATTTTATAACCATAAAATATTAACTAAAGTTTTTTGTATCACAGTATACAGTCTAACAGGTTTAATATATGTTCCCCCCGCAGCCAGCACAGGGGGACTCCTGGGGCTGTTCATTGGCTTCAGTTTCCTGAGTGCAGTGGAGATTTTGTACTTCGCATCTGTAAGACTTTGGTGCGGCATAGTGAGAAGGCGTAACACAGCTGTGAACAATTATCCATTTGTTGAGTGAATTATGGGCACGACAGCCTAAAATCGAATAATCATATGTTTTTTACCCCCCTCCCTCCCATAAACATAGTTTTTTTTCCAGAAATAGCACAATTTTAGTGAATTATATTAATTTCATACCTCACAAATACATTATATCATAAATATTCAAATATATTCTGTTCATTAAAAAGCGTGCTGTCCCATGTGTATTTTTTTTATTTATCTCATCCAAACAACGAAACTGTACATCCTCGATTTTTTGTATTTGATTTGAGATAAAACATTCTTTTAAGATGTATTCTACACAATAATTAGTTGCAATGTCTTGATTAATATCGTGACAAATCTAGTGTTTTGGTACTCGCACACGTGTTTTAAAATTATTCTTTGTAAAATCATTTATGTGCACGGTGTTTCAAGAAATCTGAATCTCTATATCACAATGACATTTTCCTGTTTCTCGCTTCTTAGCTGTTGGAAAAAAGACGGAGTTCAGCAAACAAAGTATCTAACCTAAAAACTCTCTGTTCAATGTCTTTTAACAATAAAACTCACTTATGTAGGACTGTACAAACCATCTAAGATGTGTGTTATATTATAACTTCTTATGAACTTTCTCCCTGAACCATATTTCCCTTAAGTAAAATCTACCGATCACGACGGACCATTCAGTGTTAAGTAAACTTGTGAATTGGTGTACAACAATCTTTCTACAATCGTAGGGTTCGTTCTCCAAGATCACGGCAGGTGGCAGAACCGATGCCTTATGGGAAATGGGAGTTGCCGAAACCTACGTCATTCTTAAAGTATTAAACAAGACAAGAAAAGTGAAATCTGTTCAGGAGTTTCTACATGCGTTCTTTGAGCCTTTGTATTCTGAATTATCCTAGTCGAATTATTAAAACTAAAGTTAAGAACACATGGAATCGTTATCATACATATCACATACGTACCGACTGATAGCAGACGACGTATAAACACGTACGTAAGAAAACATTTATCAACTCTTACGTCCTATCTTCTTAATCACTAAAGAAACTTATGGCAAGTGGGTAACTTTCAAATATTATCACCAAAATGCATGAATACGAGTTTTAAACATTATTTTCTAAAGGAAATTTCTACTGGTAGAAGGATAATCCCATCACGGAATTCGTCATTGCGAAGATGACTGATTGGACGATTGTCTGTGAGTTTTACCCAGGAGTTTGGCTGAACTTGGGAGAAGAGGATCATTTTCGCTGAAGGCCTCCATTACTGGGTTGAAGCGAGTCATGCTTCTTTTGAACTAAACCTTATAAATTTGCCTTGCAACTGGTGAAAACCATGGAAACATCTTATCTTTCCTTAAAAGTACCTTTGAATTTGGACAAGCTAGCACACAATTCTATCAGTTACGTAATGAAATATCTGATCCTTCGCTGTTAAATATAGTCTGAGAAGACAATGTGACTGCACTGATCCAGCCAAGTGATAGCGAGTGACAAAGACATGACGTGGAGAGATAGGCTGTGTCTTTCAAGATTAGATGCTTCACAATCGCATCTTAGTTTATCTTTTTTCGTATTCATATCAACTGTTAATGGAAATCCCAGAGTGATGTCTTGAGTTTTATCACAACGTATAAAATGAGGGCAAATGCCACATTTGACACACTTCAGCGAACCTCATCTCCAAGATGCTGCTAATAACTGCACTTCTGTCCATTTTGTTTGCAGTGGGAATCGAAGGTTGGTGCAGTGGGTATGTTATAGTATTGTTCGGAAGGTACCTATTTTGAATTTCGGTCGGATTACGAATTAATTTGAATGAGAATTATCGTGGGTTAACTCAGTCTGTGGAAACAAACTCCAGGAAAATTATATGATAATTTCACTGGTTGTAAATTTTGAGTCATTACAGACACTTAAATTTGCAGGTAGTTATATTAAAATCCTTTCTGGCAAAGATATTTTATAAAGTAATTATTTAGCGTGGTAACACTTAAAAATAAACGTATTACATCTACGTATACATTTAAAATATATTCGTTCAATTAAATCCCCTTCCAGAACACTGCTAATATTTAATAAGTAAACATCTGTAATTACCCCTTCCAGAACACTAACAATATTTAATAAGTAAACATCTGTAATTCAACAAAATGTTATTGTCAAGTCTTTCTTTACTATAAATAATGAAAATATCTTCAAAAATTACTCCTATTTCAAACAGATTGTCCGCTGGGTAAATTCATCCATTTATCTAATATCTGCATCGCTAAATATTTATAAAATAAATTATCAGAATCACGTTCGTATATCTGGCAGACATTAAAACAGAATACGTATTCCTGAGATCGTAGGTCGAACAGCCCGAAGAATTCCTATCGTCCGAGACAACAGAATCATCAATGGCGTTGATGTCGAACAAGGAGAATTTCCTAGTCAAGTGAGTAACATATTTCAGAAAAGTGTCTTAAGATTAATCATCATTCATTTACGAAAACAAAAAGTACCACATTAAATTCGGGGAAATGTTTATTACCATCCAGTTCGGAATTTTGCCTTCCCTCTGCTGTCTAGAAACGTATTAATTCCTACTGTCCGCGCACCATAAGAAGTCCTCTGCGAATAGGGTAGGGTGGGTATAAACTGCTATGCTATTATCTTCAACAAAAACATACGCGCACCTCTACAACACTATTCATGCACACAATGCACGTCCGACTATTTGTAACAGGAACAGGCGGAGTGCGCATGCTCAGTAACATCACCCCCCCCCACTCCCGCGCGGACTTCTCTGGGCGCGCAGACATTACCTATAATTCTTCCTTGAAAACAGTGTTCTTCTTGCAGCTATCACTGCAACGTCCGAGAAGCCACAGCTGTGGAGCTTCCGTCTTGAACGAAAACTGGGCGTTGACAGCAGCTCACTGTGTTGATGGGTGAGTCTGTAAAACGCAGATTATTACCCTACCAACATTACAATCGAAAATATCCACATAGTACCATCTTGCAAGGAAATCGTGGGAAAAACAAGGAAGAAACAGCAATACAAAGTTTTCTTTCCAAACAAAACAGATTTAAATTACTGTAGTCGGGGCGAATCTGTGCGTTTTGCCTACGTCAGCGGGTAGAACGAAAACATATGCATGTACTTTTTTTTTAAGTGTTCTGTCTGAAGACAGGTCCATATGAACAGGATCCTTCCATCCTTTTCTCGGACTGGGACCTGTTCATATACGTTCTTGGCAGATGATCCAGAAGTGGTTTGCCATTGCCTTCGTCTGTGTGTAAACATTACAGACGCAGAAACTGAGACCGCGCGAAGCTACAAAGTAATGTTTTTAGAATGGACAGTATGCGCCCTTATCTGATACCCCTCTGACCCCTTCCATTTCAACAATAATCATATCATTGAGCACTGTGTGTATAGTCTGAGTTAAATTATAAATAAACATAAACTTTTATGATATATTTACAAGTCTCTCTGTCCACTGGCCTAATTTCCAGGTCATCTATATCCAGCATCACATTTTGGGCTGGAACAATTTACCTGGACAACGGAGGAACCCGACATGAAGTTGAAGAAATCATTGTTCATGAGGGTTACGTTGAAGAAGATTCTTGGAAAAATGACATCGCTGTTGTTAAGGTATATTCAGTTACGAAATAACCACTCCAATCACAAATTTCGTGACGTCACTAGGGCACATCTCTTTCGAATTTTACCATTTTGAAGTACCAGTATCTGTTCTTATCAGATACTTGGATAGGGTAAGGTGACAACACGCATTCGCGACATCTTAATAATTATTTGAACCAACTGCACTCAAATCATTGAAGATGTCACTGATCTCGAGTACAGATGACTCGATCAAACCACTGCACATTCTGTTCAAACCGGCCCTAACTAAAAAATAAAAATTATTTATACATTTTCTTCACAGGTGTCAAATCCTTTCGAGATCGATGGAGTGAACATTAAACCAATTCCTCTGCCACCCCAGGGACAAAACCCAGCTGATGGTTCTACTGCCACGGTCATTGGATGGGGCAGACTGCAAGTAAGTTTGGAGAGGTAGAGGCTGTTGGCAACTGAATCTGTGCTTAGCTTCAATCTATGACTACGATGGGGCAAGACTGAAATAATGGCTTACATTAAAGCTCCGACAGATTTTAACCACAGACAACCCCAAGTAATCACCAGGCACGCGGCTGTTTTAACTCTACTGGATTAAATCCTGAGAAAATAATCCATTCGTTACAATCAGAATTCAAACCCCGATTTACATCGTGTAGAGGACGTATATAAACTCAGATTATAATGTCCATAATCATACTAAAGTACAGTCAAACTTTTTTTACGTGACCGCTGAGCAGCGCATGAGGAGAAATTAGGGGAAGAGTAGTGGGAGACGAAGTTCTGTTTACAGCGTATTAACTCACTATGCGACGGCGCAGTAGACACTCCCCTCTAATTCCTTATCTCTGTTACTGAACTCTTCCAAATCTACGGCGCGTCAAGTCGAAATCGGCCACAATGTCATGTTTATTTATAGGGCCTGTTTGCCTGTGCTGTTACAGGAAAATGGCCCTATACCTAACACACTACAGAAGGTCGACCTCGACATTGTGAATCAGGAACAGTGCAACGATGTGTACAGCAACCTTGGCTATCCTATTTACGAAGGCCATATCTGTGCTGATGTACCACAGGGAAATCAGGGATCATGCAATGTAAGTACTGATTCATCAGATAAATCCTTATCATCATCAAGATTAATACAGTCCACAGCCCCTTATCACACTTCCCTAAGATACATTTTAAAATTATCCTCAGATCCATTACTACGTCAACATAGCAGTTTTTTCTATTTAGATTTTCCAATGAAACTTTGAAAGCGCGAGATGTGCTGATGAAGCGAAATAAATAATTTTAATTTACAAATAAAGCCATTGACACATTTTCTTCATTGGCGCCAAAACACGCACACAGAGCAAAATTCGACGATGTTTCTGTGCGAAATACGTATTACGTACACTGTAAATGGTTAATATTAGCAATCACTAGGGCAAAAACCTTGTTCTAAGTATGCCTCTTAGGTTTTCGTCCTTTTTGGTGTAATGCCAGAACTGTTCTCTTTTTGTACGGAGGGCTCCAAACGCGTCTCTAATTTTTTCATTATTTTTTTTAAAATGTTATTATCTACGGTATTTCTACAGGAAAGTTAAACAATGGACTAGACATAGTCAAATTAAGATTCCCCTGGTGCCTGATAAGCACAATATCATGAAGATGTATGACGAAGTGAGAGTACAACTCCACTCATTCTTGAGGTACCAATACACAAACCTCAAGAATCACGGCTAATGGAAATATACCGGGTCCTGAACCTTGGCAGTGAATTCCATACATCTTGGACACTAGTAAGGTCAAATTATATACAGCTTACTATTATTAGAGGACACGCCCACACACGGAAATACCACAAGCTCAGCTTTCTTCATAAATCAAGCACTCGTTTTTTGGCACAGTATACCAACGGGGTTTAAAACTACTCGAGCTATTAGCAGTTGTCTTGGAACAAACCATCATATAGATTCTACATGTCTACACTGATTTGGTAGTAACCAAGACCCACGTCAGTATTTCCAATCTTCCGAAAGAAAAACACTTTTAATAGAAATGTAAATAATAACCATGAAGATGACATAATAATGGCCGAAACATGTTAGGGTGTGGTATCAGTGTGTTAGTAGCGCGGTGGTAACAAACGCTGAAAGACGGTGCCTGAATAAAAACTGTAATTAAAAAAAATCAAAGAATAAGAAACGTTTGTGATGTATTTTTGTGTTTTTTACACAGGGTGATTCAGGAGGCCCGTTGCTCGTAGACGGGGCGGTTGTCGGTCTTGTATCCTGGGCGTACGGATGCGCTGTCCAGGGCTACCCTACCGTGTACACCCGGGTCTCAGCCTACCGGGACTGGATCACTGAGAAGACTGGAGTCTAATCGACAATGACGTCACAACACGTCGCTCTGAACTCTACCACCGAACACTATTTCATCCACTATTGACATATTACGAGAAAAAAACAAACACTTCTCACTAAATAAACATCGAAGAAATGTTTCGCAAAATAAATGGAATCTTACCCTTCTTACTTATATTTTCAGATATGTATTAAAAATCAAAGAATATCTTAAATATCTGTTATGGGCAAAAACGTGGAATGTATCTTTAAATATGGATTCTTGGACACTTCGTGGCCGAGCTATGGCCGATTTGAAAACAGATGCAGAAATCTTAAAATAATTATGGTTGTTAAGTTAATGACAAGTAACAGAACTGTAACTTAAGGTAGAAAATGAACGCGGATTAATACGTAACACGCCTCAAATTTTTCATTCACATCATAAACGTCCATGTCAAATATTTGTACTGCTCACTTAGTCTCCGGGGGGTATGCCCACAAACACAACTAGTCTTCTGCCACAGAAAAGGCTTGATTTCAATCAACACTGGATAACTAATCGATAGTTGTAAAACGATTTGGACTCTGCTAGTCAATTCGCTTTGAAGATGGAGACAGTAAGAGTCTCCGAAACGTCGAAAACATAGCCCACATCTATAAGGCGCCACCACACAATAAACATAAGAGCATTTTAAACTTGGATTGTAAAGTTGGACAACACTAAATAAAATCTCATGTGGATAAAATTCACAGCGCTTATATATCTCGTATATATTCGTATGTTGACGCAAATTTTCCTGCATTTATATATCTCTTTGTAAATGAGATTGCGTGTTCTTTGAACGAATGCATCGTGGGCTGATCGTGTCTGTCTATCCGCCCGTCTGTCAAGTCGATTCAACTAAAGAACCAACGGACGGATTTGGATGAAATTTGGCATGGAGGTTGTGCCATTCTGCACGACCTCAAAATCGTAATTTTAAATATCCTACGAGCGGTGATAACAAAATGACGGACGTGAAAAGTCGTGAGGTGGACAATGAGGTGCTGCGATCTGGTGTCCATGCTGGGGATATTTGTTCACAATGGTAATCATGGTTACCATTGGCGACCATTGTTATGCGTACCTTGAATGTTTACCATGGTTACTATGGTAAAGTGGGAATAAGCCGAAGTGATCGTGCATGTAGGAGTGTTTTAGCTTTAATTAAGAAAAGTCAGTTCTTCAAATTGGAATATTTATAAATTCTCTAAATTCGTAAATTAGTTTCTCGGGGAAAGGCAGGTATAATACCTCAAAAAGCACGCCACAAAGAACACATGAGGATATTATGTGCACTTCGGTACGGGAATACAATTTCCGTGCGTTGTACGAGTCCTGTTAATGGTGTAGAAAGTTGTTTACCGCGTTGTTTGTAGAATATCTGTTATGACACTCAAAATTACTATGGACTGTATCCTATTTTTAACGTAATCATTTAATGGGCCCAGTTAATGGTGTCCATAATGGATGACTGATTACCGTATTGTTTGTAGAATATCTGTAATGACATATTTTGAAATTACAATGGACTGTATTATAAGTTTAAAGCAATCTTCGTTAGCCACTTGTGCAGGTTGATTGATCTATGAAACTTAATCAAAATACGTAAAAAAAAAGGTTACGTTCAGTCGTTATTCGCTTTTCAATGTTATCTTTATAAGTGATAAAGATTGTTTTGCAAAGTATGTGAAATTAAATACGATTAAGAGAATCATAAATCACCTCTAATGCGACGACATGTATCACCGAATGACAAGGATGAGTGGTTAGCACTCCTGATTCGTATTCGGGAGGTCCCGATTTCAAATCTAGACCCGGAGACCATCAATATTGACTGAGAATTTCCGTGGTTTCTTCAGCAGAGTCAGTGCTATAAATTAGGTCCGACAGCTTCCTTCCACATCCTTACCAGTTCATTAATCACCGTCATTCGACGCTACATAGTCTGAGCCACTAACGTCGTGAAATTAGTTGCATTAATGCCGTGCTAACCTGCTTCAATCACCGGATTTTCTTTCAAGGCCATAAGAAAATATTTTGTTTAACTGTCCTCATGCCCAAATACAAATTCACACCGAAAATTATGGAGTCAAAATTACGTCTCACAGGAACAAGCGCTCCATTTGGGGGGGGGGGGGCGACCTCTGGAAGAGGGAGTCTTCAATCAATACCACGGATCCAACACTACTGGCTGGTACCGTCAGCGTCATTTATCTTGGTGGAAGGGAGTCCAGGAGTAGTGGTCAGAATGACACGTTCTGCGCATGCTCTGCTCGGTACTACCCTTAAAAATAACATTTCTCCATTTCGCGCACAGTGACAATGGAGCGAACACCGCAGCACAGAAACGAAGTAAACTGATTCATAGCGGAGAAAGCGACGCCAAATTTTGTGACAGAGAAACCCCAACATCAGTCACATAAATCAGAGCATTCGTAACGAAAAGTTGAAAAAACAAGGAACCTTCTCACTTTTATATATCTGTCCGTCTGCATGTATAGCAACACGAGAACCGGTAAACGACCTATCATAAAATAGACGCGAATTAAATTTCGGTTAAAATACGAAAACTGTATCGGACACTTTGAACCAAGACGTTAAAGCATTTCAGAGTGCATGCACGGCGAAACTAGCCGAATATTTATTGCAATTAATCACGTTTCGAATAAAAGTTATACAGAAAAAGGGGGCACGCACTATTTCCAGGACACTTTTCCCATGTCACCGTTTTCGTGATAATTAAACAAAAAGGCCTTCTCACAAAGCAATAAATATTAGATTAGTTTTGGTCAAACGTAATAATGGAGGTCTTCGCCTAATTTACGCTGTTTGTATGGGAGAATCATATTTTGGATTCATAAACTGAAAATAGGCTGCCACGGTGGTCTAGCGGTTAGAACGCTGGCCTTGTAATCCTGGGGGTCTCGGGTTCGATTCCCGGCGGTGCCCGAATTTATAACTTGTGTTGGGCAAGGCCGTGGTCTAGGCAACACGGAGTTTTCCTTCGTGGCATCCCAACAATTACTCCATACACACAGAAGAAGGCAATGGCAAACCACTTCTGGATCATCTGCCAAGAACGTATATGAACAGGTCCCAGTCCGAGAAAAGGATGGAAGGATCCTGTTCATATGGACCTGTCGTCAGACAGAACACTAAATAATAATAAATAAATAAATAAACTGAAAATCTAAAAGCAGCAACAAAGCGCCCGCCCCAGAACTGTTACGCAACACATACTTAACACTGTTTGTTATTCGTCAATACTTACTGAAGTAACAATGAACGTATGGTACCAGTAGGCAATTAATATTTACTTTGTATGGGTCTTTCATTCACTGTTTCAACAATAACAAGTCTTGAGAACAGTCTCCGGTAAGGGAAGAGAGAGTTTAGGGCATTTTCCAGATCGCTGAATACCTGCTGGGGCGCTCTGTTGCGCATAACCAAGCCGTAACGAGCTCCGAGCTCCTCCAAGTATCACTTCAATGGAGCGCAGACACCAAGCCAACTAACGCGAACAGTAGACACTCAGAACGCGCCAAGCCCCCCAGTCGTACACCAGTTACGTTCTGAAGACCTCGACACTAACAGCTTCAGTTATTTTGCATAACTTTTGTTATTAACGCTTCTTCGAGTAATTTGCAAAACCTGTTTCGATTTTGTTATCGGGATCAATTAAATTCGCGTGTGTTCGCCGGGCATAGAGCATTCATAACCTATAATTTAACAAGAATTTCCATTACACGCCAATTTTCTTTCCCCCGATGCTGATGTTTTAATTTAAACCTTTTTGACAAAACAAATACAGAAAACCGGAAGAAAAAAAATCCACAAGGACACAGGGAAAAACTTGTCAAAACGGTTTCAGAACAGAAATTATTCCGATAACTTAACTTCACTCACACATTCATCATTTTGTTGCACACACATTGAAACAAAGCGAACGGTCTTCAAAGGAAACATTTACTTTAGATATAATTAAATTAACAATGAGTGATAACACAACCAATGAGGCTAATAAGCATTTTAGACATTACACGTTCACCAAGATAGAGTCTGAAGGGGACGCGTCTATCAAAAATTGCAATGAAACAAACGTCATCACCTCAAGACGATTTCAACACTTCAAGAGATGGCTGAGAGACAATCTGCTCCTCATTGCGACTATTTGTGGAGTGATCTTCAGCCTTTTTCTAGGTGAGTTTGCCATTTGCATGACCCGCGATGTGGTACAGTCTCAGATGAAAGCAAAATCAATACGCATTTGATAATACCGTCTTGTATTTTAAACCTCCGAAGCCCTAAGCCAATCCGAGTTTATATTTAAAAAAAAAAAATACAGTTCTTACCTCAAAGAAAACACGCAATACAAAATTCAGATGGTTATTGCTGTTTAAAAATAACCGCTGATTATTCTCAGAATCTTACGAAACTCAATCGGCAAAATGCAAAGTTAATGATGGTTAAAGTGGTACGTACAATTACCATTAACACGTACAGAGGCAGAACATTATGTATTAGTCTTATGTAAAATTAAGTCATTATACATAGTAAATTGGAATAATATAAAATATGATACAAATTCTAACGAAATGTTTCTACAAAAATACCTAACCTAACCTTCATGGCCCATAAATATAAATAATTTTAAAAACAGTTACGTTGCACGAACATGAAACATTCAGTTTTATATAAAACACGTACAGATAAAACACTTTTTCCTTCGTAGTTCCAATTGACTCCTTAGACTTAATTCAGTAGCAGTTGTTTATTTAATGACGCTGTCAATAACTCAAACTAAGAGAATAATAAATTAATAATGAATCGGAAATTATGTTGATGGAAGCGGTAGTGGCCTGATTTAAGGTACAGGTACTATCCCTGCTTTTGCATGGTGTTACTGAGAAAAAAAACATAGAAAATCTCAATCGGGACAGTCAGTCTCCGTGCTGAGATTTGAAATCGAGACCTCCAGAATACGAACCACTCGACTGCCGAGTTAGGTAACTGAATGGCAAAACGTAACTAAACAATTCCGAGTGTATTTATACTCAGAACAAAAATATGGCGATTATAAAACAAATATTAATTTTTCATAACGTTATTTTTAAAAGGCGAGGGTTATGTTACCAGTTTTGAGGTTATCACAGCGGCGAAATGTCGCAATTGCAATTCCTTGCATATCTGTAAGTAGATAACGTTTTTGAAGAAAGTATACTCTCACCATCTTCAGCTCTGAAGATGCAGGCAGTATGTTCCTGCATAGCGTTTGTGCCCGCCTGGAAGTTCACACGACGTTACAGTCCAGAAGTTTCGTGTCGTTATACGCCATATGCTGTGCACTGAATATACGTACAAAGTTGTAATTTAAACTAAATTAATATGGCGCGTAGCATTTCTGCGATGTGTGCAACTGCATATGTCTGCATCTTACACCTCCAAAACGTCTCAACCGATACGCGAATGTGAAATTAAAATGTAAAAAACCACATTCAAGTTACATAATTCTATATCTTTATAGTAACGCATGGATAAATCATTGTTTTATTGCATTATACAGGGTGTGCTAAAATATGTATACACACACAAACATTTAATATACATCTTTTAAGATAACTTGCATAATCCTAGACACGTGCACATAATAAGCTCTGTGTATATATGATTAAATTTATTCCTAAATATGTAAAACAATGGGAAGGCAGATTTTCTCAGTCATTCTGTTGGAATAACTAACTGATTGAGAAATCCCACTTAAGAAATTAATAGAACGCTCTTCTAGCCAAGAAATTCGCCACATTTTTACAGAAACCATTACAGCTCATTACCACGACGAGATTTTAGGTTCTCATGGAGACAAATACGAAGACAGGCCGACGTTTAGATACTGCAGGCAGTGACTTTCTTTTAGACGTCGTAAAACGTCTACCAGACTACGCGGCGCAACATCCACAGAATACATCCATCTTTGCTAATTACCATTTGCACAAGAATCCGCAAGTAATTCTCATTCTGAGCCAAATTAATCCAGTCTATAATCTTTCTTCTATTCATTATTCTTTAAAAAAAAATAAGAAGAAGAAGAGAGAGAGAGAGAGGGCCAAAAATAACTTAGGCTGTCAAAGACAAATATTCGCTCTATTGTTCTCAATTCACTTCTCTTAAAGAAATGATATTTGTTTTTACGTAACACACGTGCCTTCAGGAAGAGATGATTTACAGTGACAACCATACGAAACACCTAAATACACTCTGTGGTAAAAATCCAGAGTTAAAGAATGTTAAAGTATGTGGTACATATAGTTACCACTGTGCTTTAAACAGGTTGAACAAATCGCGTGCTTCCTTACCGGCTGCGACAAGCATACAGATAAATGATCTCATCAGTTGTTATTATTCCTCAGGGTTCATATTGAGGCCTCTAAAACTAAGTTCGGATGCTGTAATCCTGATTTCATATCCCGGAGAACTGTTCACGAGGCTACTCAAATTGTTCATTCTTCCACTCATCATTGCCAGTCTCATAGCAGGTAAGTTGAATGACCCCCAGTAACCTATCTACTCGATTATACGAGAAACTATTTTTATCATTAAGTTCATAAACTCATGTTTTCTTGTGCACAATCTAAAAAAAGAATTAAAGATTAGAATTCCTCTCGGTCTTAGAGAAGACCATGAATTGATGGTATAAGACGAGATTAGAGAAAATTACATGACGACAAACTTAAAAATTTGTAATTTCCACCTAATATTATTAGGGCGAAAAAAAGGTCTAAGAAGATCTGATGTAAAGAACATGTAGCACGCACGGGATCTACACGTGGCTGATAGGAGAAACAACATTCGCGGATGTTTACCTACTCTTGGAAATGGTGGCATAGAAAACCATATGTTCCGACACTTTACAGCACAAAAATATGTAAAGTGTTGTTGTCCGATCAAACAGAAGTCACAAAAGGAAGGAATTACTAAGGACATTTCCGATTGGCTAACGCAAGCTTTTACTCTCCAAAGGTAGCGCAAAACTGAACGTCAGTCTGAATGGTAAGATCGCCTTCAGGACTCTGATCTACTTTGTACTGACGTCACTCACCAACGCGATCCTGGGGACGATCCTGGTGCTGTTAATACATCCTGGTAATCCCCACAAGAAGCTTGACCTTGGGGAAGAATCCGTGAACAGGCACACTCACATCCTCGATGGACTTATGGACTTAGGAAGGTTGGTGAATTCTTCATCCTGTATAAATAACTTTACTGTATTGTGATGTATGCATTTCATTTACTTTTCTCCCAATGCTAATTCCATCCAAGAGTCTCCAAGATTAAAATTCAAAATCATGAACACCGCAATTCCAAAAGTCTTTTATGTCCGGTAAAAAGAAAAATCAAAATTTCCAATTTTCGTAATTCCATCTGTTCTGTCGGCAGCAAATGTCAAAATACGATTACAGTATACAACACTATAATTTTACTTGTCTTATGTGGGTGTGAAACTTGGTCAGGAGCTCCGAGGAAGAACACAGATTGACAGTCCTGGGGGGGGGGGGG